TCATGTTTGCAGAAAAAGTGAATTTGGGGATCAGGCACAAATATTGAAGAGTAGCACACTGTCTTTAAAACTGCATTTACACTGAAACATGTATATCACCATATGTGAAACAAATCACCAGTGCAAGTTCAATGCATGAAACTGGGCACTCAAAGCTGGGGCGCTGGACAACCCTGAGGGATGGGATGGGGAGGGAGGCGGGAGGGGGTTCAGGTTCAGGGACGCATGTACACCCATGGCTGATTCATGCCATTCATGTACGGCAAAAACCACTACAATACTGTAATTAGCCTCCAATTAAAATTAATTAATTTAAAAAAGACTACATTTACAAAACGCATCTCTAAGTGGACATCTGAAATACTTTTATCTACATAAACTCACCTCCTATAACAGATCCTTCAGGAATGGGACATTAGAACACAGGGTAACACTCAGAGGAGCAAACCCGTCTGGGAGCACCGCCAGAGAAAGGTTCTGGCTACCAGCATGAGGTTTTGTTGCTGTTTAGTCACTGAGTCCTAGCCAATTCTTTGTGACCCCCCCACCCCCTGCCGTCCCGAACTGTATTGCCCACCAGGCTCCTCTGTTCATTGGATTTCCTGGGCAACAAAACTGGAGTGAGTTGCCATTTCCTGCTCCAGGGTATCTTCTCGAGTCAGGGATCGAACACCCAGTCTCCTGCTTGGCAGGCAGATTACCACTGAGCTAGCTGGGAAGCCCAGTACAAGATGTGAACAATTACAAATATGTATAGCAGATACCAAGTTGTTTTCCCTCTTTTTCTGATAACCTGATTAACACTAGAGTGGCTTAGCAACTACAAAGTCTAAAGGTGGAATATAATAGTGTGCATGTATACAGGGAAAAGAAGCACACATATATTTTATAAACACACATACACACCTCTGACCTTCATTCCAGTTTGAATTCCCAGTTTCTCGGTGTTTGTATCAACAGAGAAGACAGCACCAGCTCCCACATTTGCTGCTGACACTGGGAGAGGGGTGCAGCCTACCTTCGCTTTTTTTCATGGGGACCAGTTATTCCTTTCCCAATACCAGCTGAGCTGTGTTTACCCAGGGGTCTAAGAATCCTGCCTCCTTTTAAGTAAGAAAATTCTTCTCTAAACTCTTAGCAACCAAACCTGGGTGGGAACACAAGGTTGGGAGCCAGTGTAAGCTGAAGAAAATAAATGTAAAGCAAAAGAATACATTTCACTGTAGATCATTTTCTAAAAGTCAGGTTACCCACAAAACTGAAAGAGTATATACATACTGAATCTAATTTTAAGTTGTGGCAAGGAGGAGGGCTCTAAGACGTATTCAGAGAAAGAAAAAATACTTGAGAAGGAAGGAAACCACGTATCTCTCTACTTGAGTGAGCTGAATAAGCATATAACCTACACACAGTTAACAAACAATTTGGGAATCCTGAGAATCACACACACTGGGAAGTGACAAACACAGAAGAGAACCCTGGCAATAGTTGCTAAGTGACAAAGATGAGGTCTCCAAGGGTTAATCTCTATATGGAATCCCCATACTACTGTCTTCCTGGAAGGAGAAAAACACAGACAGAAACTGGTATAATTTCTAAAGCTAGATATATAATACATATGGGTCACTAACTTTTACAGAGACTATGGCAACTTAACATTTTAGAAAGATTATTACTATTATTATCACTAGTCAATATCTTACAATGTCCAGTATCTGTTATTTCTGAAAAAATTTAGTTCCATTCACCCACTCTTGGGCTCATTTGGAGTGAATACTTACACAGCGACTTTTACGTGCCTTAAGATTTATCATCTGTCAGACCTCCTGAGTTAAGAACTGATGTGGAATAAAAGCAAAAGGTACAGAACTGAGAGTCAGTGAACATCAGTTCTAGTCCTGTCCCTGTCATAAATGACCATTTGATCCCAGCAGTGTGTATTTCAGTAATTCTATAATGAAGTAACCAAACTATATAACTTCTATCTCCAAAGTGTTAAGCTAATTCTAATTTTTAGTTTCTATCACTTTTTAAACATGTATTTCTATCAAAGCAATACATACGTAAGACTCGTTTCTAAAAGTTGGTCTTTAGATCTAAAATACATCAACCTGGTTCTACACTATGCTCCTTTCTAGTTTCATCTCCAAGTTTATGATGATGACAAAAAAATGCCTTCTGACTGAATAATCACAATCTGAAAAAGTAGTAGTTTTCACTTATGAGCTGATTCAAGCAAGGTACTCTATGCTTCAATGTCTGAGTCTACAAAATAAGGATAAACATTACTCTCTCTCAAAATGGTTGAAAAGATGAAATAAAACAAATGAAAGAATGGCAAGTAGCACCAAAGATAGCATTTGTATGTTTTAAAGGTATGACAATTATCTATATAAATTGCTTAAACACCTTATGTCCTCCTTAAAAGCATATTCATTCCAACAGATGTAGCTGAAAAATAAGGCAACCAGAGTGTTTTAATCATGCATCTGTGAAGTATTGTTTTAAAAGCTCAAAATACATGCATTGAGCATATACTATGTGCCAGATATAACATGCTAGGGTTCCAGAATTCCATAATTACAAGGACCCAAACTTCAGAAAGCTCACAGTCTCAAAGACACGAATAAAACGGAAAATGTAACTGAGAAACGTAACAACAAAAGCATGTACAAGGAGCAGAAGTAGCAGGATGAAGCGAGTAATTCGGCTTGTGTGAGGACAGAGGAGCAGCTAAAGCAGCTTGGAAAGGGAGAAGGAGCGGTTCTGCAGGCAGAGGCCAGGGCTTCAGACCTGCTTAATCATTTCGAGCTATATGAAGTCGGTCAACTTAATTTACCTTCCCGAGCTTCTTTGTAAATCTTCTGTGTTCTGATGATTAGAAGTAATTATTTGTAAAGTGCCTGATACATATCAGGCATTCAAGAAACGGAAGTTATGTTGCTTCACAAGTCGGGTTTGACTTCTTTTTAATAGACTGACTTCTAAATGGCACGCAGGAAGCATCTCTTAACTAATGATCAAGCTGCATATGGGATCAGCATGGAGAAGGCCATAAGGAACCACATCACAATGTTACCACCTGCAGAGTCCATTTTTTAGCAGTGAAGTCGTTCCTAACACATGGTACATTCACCTGCTGGTGAAGCCTATTTCTAATCTGTTTTCTCCATTTTCACAGAATTTTGCATACTCAAGATTGTATTTATTTCCTAGAAGAGGTTCCCATGCTCCTCGGTCCCACCTGAGTCCTGGTTTTGAATATTCAGCATATTCCATATTCTTTACAAAATGGCAAAGTCCAATGAGAAACTAATGATTATTAAGATTACATAAGGAGATAATTGGAGCTAACCCTGAGTTGAGACTACTATTGTTAACCTAATGGTTGAATGGGAACTGTAAGCCACTATAATGATTCAGAATCTTAAAAGTATTTCAACATATTGTTAACTCTGGCCAGGAGGCTGTTACATTCACTCTATGGTTCCCAAAATTACTTTTCTCTAAATATCCACTGATGAGCTAAGACAGCCATTAACATATATAAATACATATACTCAAATCCTCATTTTTCATTTTACAACATTTGAAAACTTAACAGTGGATAAATACAAAGAAAGCCCTAAGTAAGATAAAGCAGTATATCACAAAATTCAACTGAATTATAAAATGGTTTTTATGTCAATTTAGGTTTTTCAGAACTAAAAACATGTTCCTGACCTGCAACCATCATGTAAGATGGGTGTGCTCTGAGTTAAATAACACAGATTAAAAGTCAGTGAATCAGTCCAGAATTGATGTTAATTTCAGTTTCCACATGCAAGACACCCAATGTCTTTAAAGTCAGCCCTCAGTTTTTCTCTATGAATATCTAAATTTCATATATACCAGACTTTATAATATCTTGTACCCTATCAAGAGAGGTTATATTTGTAAAATACTCGTCATCCTCTTAACCAGTTTAACATAATGCATTTTGAAATACTAATGCTCTATCAAAATTAGCTCTTATACAAGAATTAAATCCTGAGTATGTCTGAAAGATTTTTCACTGAGAAGCAGGCACTGAGGGGTCATCAAACCGCAACTGAAATTACTTTATCTTGTAAACACTCATCTTTAGAAGGTATGTTTTAAATTCAGGGTATAAGACAAGCATTTCTATAGTAACCAAGCTAGAAGTTTCTTCACAAAGCAGACCTACAAATTCTATTTTTAAAGTCTGAGTATTATGGCTCACTTTTACAACCAGAAATTGCTGTTAATTATTATAACATGTTAAGTCCAATTCTCTCCTGACAGCCTTGACTTGTGAAGGGAAATACACAAGATTATCAAATGTCACAGGGGCAGCAGCTTGAGGGCAGAGGGAAAGAGACAAAAGGAGATAGAAGAGGAAGAAGATATACGATAAAAGCAAAAAGTGCTTAGAACGCGCTACACCTTGGTCCAGCCCGTGACCTAATATAATCTACTTAAGGAGTCATTTATATCGCCAAAAAAAAAAAAATTAACTGAAGCAAACCGATCAATGCGAGCAGGCAATTTAAGTCCTGCATTCGACTTGAGATTTGCTATAAAGAGCTAAATCAGAAAAAGATCGGAAGAGCAAGAAGCGCGTGTGTGTGCGTGTGTGTATGCAGGTGGGGAAGTGTGTGTGTGTGCGCGCGCGTGTGTATGTATGCAGGTGAGGAGGGGGCATAAATAAAGGCTAACTGTACTAACACTCGGAGCTAAAGCAGTGCCGCGCGTACTACGGAGGCAGGGCGGGAGGGAGCGAGGCGGGGGTCGTGGACTGTCCGCAGCCACCCTGGAGCCCGGGGGCGGGGGGCGCTCGGGGGCCGGAGTCGGCGCCCCCAGAACGGGCACGGGCCGGGTCCCATTCCCATCCTCCAAGCCGGGACCGGGGGCCGCGAGCTCCGGAGCCGGGGTGACGCGGGGAGCCGGGAGGCGAGGGGCGGCGCCGCGTCCCGCTCCCCACCCGGCGCATCAATTACCCGTGAGGTTCCTCAGCACCGTCCCGTGGGCCCAGAGGCTCAGGACCTGCTGCACCGACAGGTTGATCATGGAGGCGTCGCCCCCCTCCGCCTTCATCTTCCCCGGGGGGCGCCCGCCGCCCTCTCCTCGGGCTCCGGGGGCGGCGGCGGGTGCGCGGCTCCTCCAGGCCGCCGCCAACGCCGCCGCCGCCGGGGAAGGCTTCGGGGCGCCGGGCTGGTCGCTGCTGCCGCCGCCGGGCCTCCGCCGGGGGGCCGATCAGCGCGTCTCCCAGGCAGCCCCCTCCCCGCCGGGGAGACATTGAGGACCGCCGGCCGGCGAGGGGCGGGGGCCGGGCGCTCTCCCCGCGCGGCCCGCGAGCGAGGAGGACTCGGGGCGCTGTGGAGGCCGCGGCCTGTTAGGGGCCGCGCCGCGCGAGTGAGGAGGCCGAGGTCACGCCGCGAGGGCNGCGGCGGGAAGCGCAGTGTCCAGCTCCCACGGGTGGATTCAATGACGGTTCACATCTTTGGTTTCGAATGAAATGCTTTGAATAAAAAGGTTTGAGTACAACTTTTTTTTTAAGTGTAAATACCTCAAAAGATTTGAAATATATGTCAGTTTGCGAGTTTGGGGTTTTTTTTTGTTTTTTGTTTTGAGAGCATCAGATGACCTACAAGGAGTGCAGAATATATTTGGAGGCCATTGAAACAGACCCACTTTACGATTCATCCAGTGCATTCTTCCTACAGGGAGACGCTGGGCCCCGCGTGGTTCCCCACATCTGAAATCACCGACGGTGCCCGGGGGTGGGCAGGTGTCCCACGCCTCAAGGAGGGAGCTCGCTCTTTTTTTTCCGTGACAGTACTCTTTGTATCTAAATTGGAAACGTCTCTATTATTTCCACCCCCTTCCCCATCCAGGACTTAAACTAGATCTCGCTTCCTATGGTTAGCTGCCTATCGTCATGTCCATGGGAGGCCAAGGAACTGTCTAAAGTTCAGCTACGACAAACTAAACTCCTCCTTCAAGTTTGAAACCTTTTATCTTGAAAACTATTAAGTTTGGGTAATAAAAACATATGCACTAGGCAGCTGCCCCTCCCCCATCCTTTTACAAAAGAAAATCTGCCAAGGACACCAAAGCTCTTGCTAAATCATCAAGTATGTTGAGCAAAACGCACCTGTAAAAGGGTGTTCTTGGTGACTGCTTTAAAAATATATATATATATATCTATATATAGTTATGTACGGATGTATTTGTGTGTATGTGGGGGGAAAAAAAATGTACAACCCAAGAGTGGTGAGTTAAGTTTCATCTGGGGCAAAATGAAGACTGTAGCCCGAGAGAGCCTCTCAGATAACTATGTGGAACTGCTCTGAAGAGGTGGGACGAGGTCACTGTATGTGACTTCCATGAAGAGGATGCTTGCACTTAAGCACACATTTTGGCAGACAGTTGCTAGTCCCAAGGAGCAGATGTCTCCATTAATGATTTTAGTGCTTTTCTAGATAGGAGAAAATGCTAGAAACTGGGCTCATAAAGTCTTCTGAAAGTCTCTAACTATCTGAAGACCTGTTCTGCTAGCTTTTCCTGGAGATTAGAGTGCTTCATTCCTGATCTCCTCCCTTATCTCCTTTCAGGGTGTCCTGAATGTTAGTAATTGCACTGGCTAAGGACTTCATGCTTATAGAGCCTGAAGTCAAGAGACATTCTTTAGTTGGCCTGTGTTTTATCTGTTTGATGTCACAACACAGGAGTAAAGGGAAAATTTTGTATCACTAATAGGAACTGAGCCAAAACTCATAATGTGGAGTGATTTTCTTCTGAGGACTTAGAATTAATTAGATCTTAAAGATTTTAAAATATCAGACAAAAGAGCCTTTACTATTTTTTAAATTCACTTTATTTTGCAAATAGGGGAAGCTTCTTCTGCAGAGTTGACTTGACAGAGGTGACACCACTTTGCAGTCAAGTTTCTGAATTCCTTAACTCACTATCAAGTGCATTCTGGTAAGGTTCTGGGTGGGAAGATGCAAGTTACCTAATGATTACCAATAAGAGAGTTGACATTATATAATTAGTGATATTGGAGAATGTGACTACCTTCAATGTCAGGTTGATGGTAAACTTTCTAAACAGCAGCTCATTAAACTCACATCAGGAATGTTTAGTTTACATGGAATCATTGAGGTTCTTATCATTACACACTGTTGTTTAAAACACGGTAGCATGCATTTAAAATATTCAGAACCCGGGACAGTGTCTAGCAAAAGGTATTCATCAAATATTTGTTGAATGAATAACCGGATAAGCTTCATAGAAAAGTTAGCATTTTTCTTGTTTCTTGTAATTTTTTTAAGTGGAAACTAAGTGTTGATTTCTGGAAATGAGAAAGTAAGACACAGCAAAGAAGCCCCAAGCTGTTAATGTACTTTGAAAACCAGACAGATTTTCCCCTGCTTTTCAGTTCAATTCAATAAGCATTTATTTGGCATCTCTTATCTGAAATAACATTCTATGCTAAAAGTTATCTATAAGATTTGAAGATCATAAGGTCACAGTTCTTTAGTTTAATACCTCGCATTTAACATGTGTTTGCCTTGATAAAAAAGCTAATGATACTATGTTGAAAGCCTGTATTCTTAAGTGAATTGACTATTTTCCAATGGCTCGGGTTATGAAACCCAAAACTGAATTAATGCAGGTGGAAGTTATATGATTTCTTGCAGATTTTTGATATTGAATTAATGTACCTGTCAAGGAATGGTTCAGTTACATTCCTGCCGGAAATCAGGGAACACCCTCAAGTAAATACTGGAGGTCTCCCTTAGCCCTGTGGCCTTGAATGTGAAATAGATAGCAATTCATAAAGAGTTCCTGGTTTGTTTCTTACTCAGCAGTAAGGGAACTCCCATAAGTCTTAGCATGTTATTAATTGTCTGAAGAGGGCCCAGAAGAAAGTTTTTAAAATCAATTAGAATATAAAATGATATTGATCCTTTGAGAAAAACATTAACTACTGGGGACATCTTTTTCTCCCCTTTATTATCTTTCTTTCCTGTTGTAAGGTATTACATCATGGAGTCACATTACAGAGGCAGCCTAATTTCATCTTGCTACACGTTGAGTGGGATATGTGATATGTACTGTATGAATCAGCTTCAGTTTGTCTAGTAACCTTTTGGCTTTAACTCTGGTCATGTAGAAATTTCTGATATACTATGTTGTCAGCTTTTTCTTTTATGGTATCTGAGTTTTCTGCTTTAAAATGTCTGTTCCCTGTCTCAGATTTGATTTTTTTTTTTTCAGTCTCATATCTTTTCTAAAAACTTTATGGGTGTCTTTGTTTACACCTTTGGCTCACTTGGAATTGTGTTAGTACAGATCTAATTTTGTTTTTCCAGATGGCAACTGAGTTGTCCCAAAACATTTATTGAAAAATCCATCCTTTTTCCACTGACCTAAAATACTAGCTTTATCATGTACAAAATTTCTATATATACTTGGATTTATTTCTAGACTTTCATTTTTGTTCCATCTATCTGTTCGTGTGTCAGCACCACACTATTTTTATTTTCTTTAACTCTACAATATGCTTCAGGTTCTGCTAAGATAGGTCTTTGTTTTTTACTCATTTTCAGTTTTTTTCCTGATTAATCCTGAATGTGTGTTATTCCAAAAGAACTTTAAAATCAGCTTCTTAATTCTAAAAGTATTACTGGTTCTATTTTCATTGAAATCATGTTACATTTATAAACAAATTTAGGGGATATCAAGAGATTTTAATGTTTTCTTTTACTGAGAAATTTGGTTTTGAAAAGATGTATAATATGTCTTTTTTAGCATCTGTGGATATGCATGTGATTCTTTTGATTCTAAATACATGAGGCTTATATTCAAATATTTCCTAACACATTTTCTTTGACTTTCTGGAGTTAATGGCACTTAGTTATGATCTCTCATTTTTTAATATGTTACTTAATTCCATGTCTTTTATTAGAATTACGTCATTAATATTGTGAGTGAAATTGATCTGTGCTTTTCCCTTTAGAGCTGTATTTAACTTAGTTTTGTGGGTTTTATTTATATTTTGCTAATTAACATTGAGTTGGCTTTATACAAAATATTTAGAAGCTGTCTTATTTGGATTTTTCTTTTCCTTCAGCGTTTGGTGAAATTCAACTGTGAAACTGCTGTCAATGCTTTAGGGAAGCAGCTCTTTGTTTATTTTCTTCTATGCAGTGTGTTTTTTTCTATGGCAATTGGTCCATTTAGATATTTTTTTCTCTTCCTGATTTCTTTCTGTAATTCTTTTATTTGGCTTGTTTATATCTGATACAATTTTAAAAAATAATTTGCAGTGGTAATCAATACCTCTTTTGTAAATCTTTTAACTTCTCCAACACATTGCTTATTTTGTGAATTCACTTGTCTTATCTTAATTATATTTGCTAGTCATCCTATATTTTTCCCAATTAACAAGTTGTATTTATCAGTCCTCTGTGTTTCTTTATATTAATTCACTTTTTTCTTTTATCATTATCAGTTATTCTGCTTTTTTTGAGTTGTCTTATCTTAATTATATTTGCTAGTCATCCTATATTTTTCCCAATTAACAAGCTGTATTTATCAGTCCTCTGTGTTTCTTTATATTAATTCACTTTTTTCTTTTATCATTATCAGTTATTCTGCTTTTTTTGAGTTGTTTTGTCTTAATTATATTTGCTAGTCATCCTATATTTTTCCCAATTAACAAGCTGTATTTATCAGTCCTCTGTGTTTCTTTATATTAATTCACTTTTTTCTTTTATCATTATCAGTTATTCTGCTTTTTTTGAGTTGTCTTATCTTAATTATATTTGCTAGTCATCCTATATTTTTCCCAATTAACAAGCTGTATTTATCAGTCCTCTGTGTTTCTTTATATTAATTCACTTTTTTCTTTTATCATTATCAGTTATTCTGCTTTTTTTGAGTTGTCTTATCTTAATTATATTTGCTAGTCATCCTATATTTTTCCCAATTAACAAGCTGTATTTATCAGTCCTCTGTGTTTCTTTATATTAATTCACTTTTTTCTTTTATCATTATCAGTTATTCTGCTTTTTTTGAGTTGTCTT